TATTCTGCGCCTTAATTATGAGGTTCATTAGAGGGCTGTGGAGTTTAAGTGGGATGGGGGCATAACCGCAGAACTTGTTAACAGAATTGTTCCGTAAATTATTCTGATTGATGACGTTTTTGTGCATTGCCGTTGTGTGCTAGGACAGCGGCGAAGGCCCCAGCTCGTGCATGACAACCATCGCCTATACAGAAGACGGCTTTGCCCAGCGACTGTATAGCGAGATTGTATCGACGTTCAGTCGTGCGGTAAATAGCATTGTTTGCCAAGTTTTTATGTAACGCGGCGCATTAGCTGACAGTCACTGAAGGTCTACTGTTTCACGGTTTATTTACATTCACGAGAAAATCGCGATGAAGTCGACGGGACAGCTTTACTTTTACCAATCCCTCCTTCTGCTTTCAAATTAATTATTAATTAAATGTCATTCGACATTATATGGACTGAACTTCTGACAACGTCGTTGAATAACCCTATTCCGTTGTAAATCTTGTGTTCTCTTCTGCTGTGTAAAGAACCTAAACATGGGTTACCCTGATGATGGAGGCAGCAAGGGCCTTAGAAACTACCAGATTACACGGTACAACAACCCAGAAGACGGCTATCTTCAGACTCACGCCGTGAAAACTTCAAATCCTACTTTATATAGAGCTTTTTTTTAAAAATTTCTCAGGCCATTGGTTCTTTGCATTTTGGCTTATGAAACAGTTGGGCTGCCGAAATTCTCGTAATGCCCCTTCCCAGAATTAGTTCGCCGTAACACCTCGCAAGTAGCCGTCCGTCGCTTTGGCGTTTGTTTGTCAAACGCACAGATGTTCTTAGGGCGTCGTTAAATGTATTCAAGGATTACAGACGTTCACGCATTGAAGGAAACCGTGGATTCTTTCGGACTGAAGTAAACGGAAGTGAGTTTCGGTCTGGGAGAGGCCAGATGGTCCTCAAGGTTGGGCTGGCCCGTGGAGTGTTGACAGTGGCTTCGAAGAGACGGAAGTAGCAGGTCGATGTCGGTGTCTGGACGACAGCCTGAGGCGAGGTACGGGACAGCATTGGGCACCTGCTGCCTCCTGAAGAAGTCCGTTCTGCAGATACCGTTGTCTTGCGAGTGATCCGAAGCGTAAGCCCGAGATAGCGCAGGCGGAAGAAATCAATCAAACTATAATTGTAATTGTCAGCCGTCACGCTGTCTTTACCGCTGTGGGGCGGGTGGGCGAATTGAGTGTAGGCAGATGAGGCCAATGACAGCGGCGAACTCGTACTGCATACACAAGTTCCCTTGCCTGACGACCAGATGACACATAATTCCTGAGTTTGTACTTCGTCGTTGGCATTGAATCTTCGGCAAGCGTGGATGAAGACCACGTGAGTCTTTTCTGAACACAAAGGAAAGGCAGATTGGAGCAAACTCACGGCTTCTCTGTATCATTCCAGGAAGTCGATTACAGCCACACGCCCCTCCCACCCCTCGTCTCATCGTCACTCTTCCATCAGACTTAGCCTCGTGTTGTTCGCCGTCATTCGAGCTGCTTTTGAACTTCCTTCCACAGGACGAATTGTTGGTAGATGCAGACCCGTGCCTTCTTGATCAGTTAAGACGAACTTTTCTCCGCTCCTCAATTCTTAAGCTACGCAACCGAGGAGCGTGTCTGTCGGTACTTTTAAACCTAAATCCTCATGAAAGTGGAATGAACGTCTGCACTGTTTCATACACCAATTGGTGTTTACGATCTGAATTAAAAATTTTGCATACGAATTCCAGTGGTTTAAAATTTATGACATTAATTTGTTAATTATTCTATTTGTGGGTCAAGGGATAGAGAACTTGCACGACCTAAACGCAGATGGAATGATTTTAATTACCGAAAAATAAATAATATCTGAGGATGTGGACTGGGTTCATCTTGCTTACCCTCTGGTCCAGTGGAGAGTTTCTCTGAAAGTGTTCGGGAAATTTCTTGATTAGTTGGAAGCTCTAAGCACGTCATAATTAGCAGGTTTTGCGACTCCAGTGCGCAGCTCCTTTGCGCAGAGAAAGGAGTTTCCATTCCTCCGTATTTTCGCTCTTTTCTTGTGGTCTGTTAGCCTTTCATTAGAATGCGAGTGACTTATTTGCTGGGAGGTACAGTCAGAGTCAAAGCCACATATTGCCATACAGTATACCGCAGTTATAACTCTGACACTGTGACTTTATTTTTGGCTAAACTGATGGATTGATCCAAGCTTCAAAATTAATAAGGATTTATATCGGACCGATACGAACAAATATTACGGGAACTGACAATGGATCCAAATATTAAATTTAATCTAAATCCATCGAGTACTTTGCGGGCTAGTGGAGAAATCGACACGACCGTTGCAGAAAGCGTTCGTGCACTTTTCACAAAAGCTTTAAAAATGCCGATACAGTGGACGATTATTACGAGGAACTTGAAACAGAATGGAAAATGTGAGACATTTCTTCGTACCTTTCGTGCTCGTGAGGGTAGTTTGACTAACCGAAAGCTTTGTGGTGTGATTCGCGTTGATGACAGGTAAGTTACGGACTCTCTGACTTATGGCGCGTCCTTCAATCTGTGTTCCGTTTCACTTTCGATGTGACTCGACTGTTTTGCTTGGTTTGTGTTTCTACGTAATTATCTTGTTGTGGGGTAAAAAGTTGTGGTTTAATCAGAGATTACACAGTGGGTTATTTATTTGTTTTCAAATCACCAATCAACTATCCAACCGAGCAGAAAACTAACTGAGATGGCTGTCTTCTGGATTGTAGCGCCGTGTAGTTTGGTAGAAGAATATTGACGTTTCGGAGGTCCTTACTGCCTCCATCATCAGGACGATAAGCTAAAAGCAGTGTTGTGCAAGGAAAAGACGTCGTCCCATGCTAGGTCAGACCGTCTTACATTTATGTAATGCAGGAACAAACGTCATTAGGTTTTCTGTGTGCGTAGTAGGACGCATATACGTAAATAATTTTCTTGGTTTTTAGATTTTCTCCCGAAATAATCCTTTGTATACCTGAAGAGTAAACTTCCTGAGAGATTTCTCGAAACATTTTAGCATAATTCAGGTTCCCAAGCTCGCTGCTTACGATCAATAATCTCTTTATGGCACCTCGTAGAATTTTTGTCTGTAGTGGGAGTTGTATACAGTGCATGTTTCTGTTTCACGAGACTGTAATTTACCTAATTTAATTATTGAGGTTAATAATGGAGGAAGGTTGCAAAGCCCTTAAGCGTATGTAAGGCGCGTTTTTAATATTAAAAGCGTTGCAGTGCATCGCGGCTTATAAGCCATACGAAATAATGTATGGAAGAAACACAGGATTTTCAGGGCGTTAGGTAGCAGTACCAGGATGGAGTAGTTACGTATTTCGTAATTACTCTTTACCAAATATTATTACGGCGACAGATGCAGGAGATGAGATGGACAGGACATGTAGCACGCACAAGTTTTAATCGGAAAACCTGAAGGGAAGGCACCACTTGGTAGACCTAGGCGCAGATGGAATGACAATTAAAAACAGGTCGTCTAACAGCTGCATGTGAGGTCGTGGACTGACCCTGGCTCTGAACAGGGACCAGTGGAACACACTCGTCGCCGGGTTCCGCAAAGGACGGGGAATTCCCTGGCCAGCTGAGCGAGTAACATGGCTGCTCAAGAAGGAATGTGATACACGCAAAAGTTAAGTGTTGTTTAAAACCAATGAAAGTTTGTGGGCAGATGATTTAGTAAGTAAAGTATTTTTTATTAAAAGGGCTGTGAGGAATTTTCACCCATGTGAGAGAAAAGATGTCGAACTCAGATCGGGTTAGCTCAGTATAGTGACTGACGGCTTGGATGTTGGATGACCTGTGTTCGATTCCAGGCAGAGTATCGGTAGTAAAACTGCCAGAACGCGAAACTGGCTTCCCAGCTCAATGTAGTACCCGTGTTAATAACGAGACGCCCTCCTGAACGTCTTCATGACGTCGCGTTTAATAAAGAACAGCGAGAGTTTTACTGCCTGCTCGTTAAGTGAAGTCCTGACTACACCGGGGGGCACATTGCTATGACTGGCATCCGGTGACGTACCGAAGGGAGCTGTAGTTTGTCGCGGCCACTTCTGCAAAGTGCTGACGCTCCTCGGGGTCGAGTCGGGCCGATCCACAGCGGGTACTTTCCCTTCACGGTTGCCCTGTCTAGAAAACTCCGCGCGTCGGTTTATACGTTCGCTGTTTGAGATTTCAAATATTGACTTCCGCGGCTGAGAGGTGAGGACTTTGGATTGTCGTCGGCTTTGAGTAAGGAGGCCTACAGCCCGGTTTGTTATCAGCATGAAATCTACCTCTACTTTTCTCTTAGCATGCATGTAGTAACTATGTTGTTGCTTTCAAGACTGTGGCCACTAGCTCTGTCTGTTATGTACACTTGGCATTTTGTGGTCAATGTCATTACCAGCTTTCATATTCGTCATTTCTATAATTAGCTTTATTTTCCTTCCACACGTCAGTTCGTAACAACTTCCTGTTTCTGCTCGTCAGTGTCAGCCTTTGATTTCCTTCAGCGACCGCTGGCCGTGGACACCCTAAGTCGGCCGTAAGGTGGCTGACTCGCGGTCAATTACCGAGTTCCAGTCTCGGCGTTCCTGTGACATTCCGTGTGAATGCCGACACCTCGTCCCACATCCCTCCGAAAGGTTCCGCCATTCGTTTTTTCATTTCTATTTTGATGATACATTGCCACTGCAGTGGATGGAGAAACCATTATCGGGTCCAGTCATACTTTCTACCACTGGCTACAGGGTGTTCAAAAGTAGACGCAGATCGTGGAACAGACTGAATCGCTGTCCTTACGCGTGCTGAATTTCGACCGGGGGGGGGACATAACTGAAGGAAATGTTTCTTAAATTATTTTTGAACGTGCTGTATCATGGATCTTTCGCAGTCGTCGGTTCAGCCGGTTTGAAATGTTGAGGCAGATCTGAGTTTGTCGCGTGATGACTGATGATTTCTCTCCTTTGATTTCAGGGCAGCCGGTGGCTACGTTGTGACGTCACAGGTAGTGCAGTGTAATCATCATACGCAGGAGCAGCAATCTTGACGGGGGCGGTGGGCTCTTGAGGGCTGTGGCCTCGGGGCTAAACCGGCAGGCTGTATGGCACTGGGGTCCCCTCGCCACCATCACCACCTCCTCCACCACCAAGACCTGTACTATTACCTTTACCATCACCGGCATCGCCTCCTCTCTCAGTTGGCTCGTTCAGCAACATGGTGAAGACCTTTCAAGCCTATCTGCCCAACTGTCACCGCACATACTCGTGCATCCACTGTCGGGCACACCTAGCCAATCACGACGAACTCATATCAAAGGTGAGTGTGTCCTTGTGGCAGTCGAGAACAGCTCGTGGGCCACCAGACGCCATTGAATGTCTTTTGTAGATTATGGGAAATGTCTGGAAGATCGATATATTTTCTTGCTAGAATGCAGGAAAATGAGACAGAACTTTTTGTTAGTGCAGTATCAATCATTTGCTGTACGAAGGTTTAGAAAATTTGGAAAAGAAATAACCCGTATTTTATATTTATAGCTCACCACGTACACACAAAGGTTGTGTATTCCTGTCGGCCGTGTGTGTGTGTATACTTTTTATTCGTAATCTTGCTGGCACAGCGAAGAATTCGCGTGGCTAATCTCACCTCCTCGCTGGTATGCAAAATAGGACAGCATCCTTGTACTTCTGCGCAGTCGTAAAGTAGTGGTGGATTATGAATGAAAGCAAGCTGAATGTCGTATGAGAATTGACGTCATCACAGCTTTGGGAATGTGGATAACAACGAGGGCGAAGAGTCCCACATGTTTACACGGCGTCAAAATTGAAGACAGTCCACGTTTAGTGTCCAAAAAAAAAAATCGGTATGTTCGAAAGCAACCGATTGTGAAACTTGCATCTGATTCGTGGTTCGCCTGGACTCGTCGACTACCCACATTGCCGTCGAGTAGGCTGGGTTGCTGTCGGTACTGGCAGGCGCTTCGCTCGGTACGATTTCTGTCTCGCTCGGTACAATTTCTGTCTCGCTTATTCTGTTTATCTCTTCAAGTACACATTTAGACGTTGTTCACGGTTGATCAAACGTGTATTTTTGTGTCGTCACGAGTTCCGTGAAACGGAAACGTGAGGGCTAGCTTGCCAGCAGTCAGCTTCTCTCTGTCGGAAAATGTGCACATAAAGGCGCGGTGACAGGCCATGCGAGACTGTCTTATTGAAAATGGAGCCACACATTTAACCTTAGATTCTGGATTTTAGTTAAAGCAGAATGTTATGCTTGCGTCGTAAATTATTTCCCGGTCCAAAAAATTTGACGTTTATGTTGAAGGAAGTTTTTTATGCATGCGAAACAGTCATTAGGAAAGTTGACTTTCATCATTAACGATGTTTTGTTCCTCTCCGTCCGTAATTTGGAATTTCACCTCCACGCGTCCATTTCCCTAACGTCATTGTCTTTTTGTGCGTGAGACCTGATGATCTCACGCGTCTTACATCACATTTCTTTGTCCGGTCTACACTTGAGTGCGCATGTTGCTACGCGTCTCTCATCAACTCCACGTGCAATGCACCATTTGCTTGCGTGCACAATGGAATTCGTTATCACAGTTTTTAGTCACCAACCCTTGGGGGTCTTCTCTCCCCGCTCCGCAGCGGTACGGCGACTTTTATGAAGTGAGTTTTATTCGACATGTATGAATCCGTCGTCATCTGCAAGGGTCGCGTTCTTAAAAAGACGCCGTGGTTGGCAAGACCGGTGGCCAGAGTCAGGTTAATTTGCCCGTTCCTTCCCGATATACGAAAGTGCGTCGAAGCGGTAATCTGGAAGCTAGAAAAGTGATTTCGGCCGTCATTGCAGACCTCCACAGACTCGCAGACAGATAGGTCCGTCCGTCCTCAGCCCTGACGATGGAGACATAATGGTTCTCCGAAACGTTGGCATTTCCCGACGAGGCTACGCGGCGTATAATGGAGAAGAGTTCGCTTTCCGCGTATCGAGTGTGCAAAAGTGGCCCGAAAGAAATTCTGGTATCAGCGAGTGAAGGAGAAGCTTGTACTTTGCATCCTCAGCATTCTTTGCGGGGGGTGGGGGGTTATATACGTGGGTGAACGTAGTTGGTGGCTTGGAGTGGGGAGAAGAGGAGAAGATTCTACTTCGAGCCGCGGGGTTGGTGGCCTGGCACCAAAAATACGTAATGGATGTTGTTCTGCCCTGGATGCGTCGCTTCCTGAACAAGAAGGGAGTTCGACGCATATGATTTCCGTGTTCTGCAAACCCGTAACAAAAGGCAAGCAACGCAGCTCTTGGTAATATTATGTCGAAGTAGTTTTAGTAACAATTTCAAAAGGCACGCGTCAGAACAAGTTCGGTCTTGCGCATGGTCAACTTTAAAACCTTCTCTGTACCAGTACGATATTCTGGCACAGCCCTGGTACATCTGCCTTACGAAGGTTACAGTTGCTTAGCTGGTCTTGGAGCTCCTTAGCCTCTGATGTTCATTGCCGTGATACTGGACTTTATCTGGAGTAAAGAGAATCCAGGAAAACCCTTCCTCATTAAGATTCGTTGTGAAATTGTCCCTCAGCGGTCATTGGGTGTGATTCCCACATTATATTCCCCTGGTCATTCGATCATTCGACGACATCTACGTTCCATTGTCCTTATCGTAGTACCGGAAACTGTCGTAAAATACTTTGCATCTTCCCTGCCGCGTCTCTGTCCTCAATTGGAAAATCTTCCTTCAGCGTTTGTGAATAAGATTTATGTATTTCTCATACTTTTGATTTGATCGCCCTAATATTTTCGTTTCTCAACTAAAAATAATAATGTAGCAGTCTGCGTCTATGTGCGATCGAGTAGATGAACTTGGAATGACAGATAATTCGCGTGTTGGTTAGTGAGGCGAAATGTGGTTCAGACACGGGCAGCCTAAAAAACGCCTGGTCGTTGAACTGTGGGCACAGATCGATGACGTGTTTACAGCAGTAATGCCACAAGGGCTGTGTCCACCCACTACACTTTCGTAAGAAACCAAACCTCCTTGTTGTTCCACCCTTTGTCCTGTTGTGTTAGGTTCAGGAAGACGAACACAGAGGCGCTTCTAACGAAATCGCTCCACGTTGATTTTCGAAACGAGTGCCAAGATTACAGAATCTGTTATACTAACGTCCATGTGCATTGAGGAGGTGGAGGTTGGATCTCACCTCGGGTAACTTATCCTGGCCTTTGGTCGCTCGTGGCCGAGTTCCAATTCCCCCCCTCCCGTAGTTCCTGTCCTTGTTTGCGTGACCGACGAACCGAACGTCGAGGTCCGTGCGACGAACTCGGGCGGGGCCTATCCCGAAAGTGTCTGGAGCCCGACCAGTGGAGTCCTCTGGGGAAATAAAATGCGTTGACAGAGGCGACGTCCACTTCTTACATCATCACCCTGTCTTTGATGTGCCCAAAGTAGAAACGTAGGCGCCGTGGTCCAGTAGAATTTTGCCAGCGTTTCAAAGGAACTTGCTGCCTCCATCAGCAGGATAGCTACACGGCGCTATATAACCTAGACCTATGGAAATTTGTTTCTTTAGACATCCCTTGGAGTACAGTGATTCTTATAGTCTCAGCTGGACAGGAAATGTCCTGCTTCTTCTGGAACCCTGATGCCAACCACTGGACCTGTCTTGAGCCAGAGTAATCCACTCATGTCCAGTTTCTTTAACATTCTTTTTGATATCCTCCAAATTTTGCTTTGGTATTCCAGGTGGTCTCTTGGCCTTCCTTGAGTTTATTTTACGAAGAATAGGCCCATATGAAGATCACGAAGCCTCTCTCAAACAGCCTGGATGCATGAAGTCTTGTGGGTGGTTACCAACGTTTCGGAAGAACCTGCCGCTTCCATACTCGGGGTATATCCGACACTGGAGACCGTGAATTTCCCATCCTGACTTGGAACCTCCGCTAAATGCCTGTCCATATTTTATATAACCCTTTCGCCGTTGTAAAGGTTTTGCATTCGTCTGTAGTTTATCCACTGGTTGATGAATCTTCTTGTGTGATCGGTGGTACATTGTGTCCGAGATACAAGGAGAACACCGGTTTTGTGGTTCTGTCAGTTCAAAACAGGATTCCTCACGCATTCCCGCGGGGACTGTGTTAATGGAGATTTGTGGCCGCCCTGCGTGTGAATTATGAACACGAAATGCGTTCAACGAGCAAGGTTGTGTGTCGCCGTCCTAGACTAGAATTTAGTAACGTAGGCACCTGATACCTTCGTCAGCGTAGGTGAGAAGCCGTGGCCTTGACAGAGTAGAAGCACGCGGAAGTCCGATGGCTGGTAATCTCTGGTTAGGATTTCATCAGTTGAAACGCGTGGAGTTGAAAGCGGTCTCTTCTGAGGAACATCCTCTTCCTGTATTTTATTCAAATTTCGTTTTGACTTCATTTCAGCTAATTTTATAAACGGGACTATGAATAAAATGGTTTTATCATCGAACGGTTTTAACAATTTGTTGAAAATATTGTTTTTGTAAGCCACAGACAAGTTATACCAGTGGTATTCAACCACGGGTACGCGAAGACATCTTAAGGGGTACGTAAAATTTAAAAATATATATTATTTTATGATAAACACTGAATAATCAGTAATGTAATTTATTTAATTTATTTTAGATGTAGATTATAAACTATTTATAACTTGAATTATACACCAACAACTTTTGGGGTACAAAGTTGAAGAGCAATTATATCTGGGGGTACGCGAAGACATCTTAGGGGGTACGTGAAATTTAAAAAAATATATATTATTTTATGATAAACACTGAATAATCAGTAATGTAATTTATTTAATTTATTTTAGATGTAGATTATATACTATGTATAACTTGAATTATACACCAACAACTTTGGGGGTACAAAGTCGAAGAGAAATTATATCTGGGGGGTACGCGAACAAAAAAGATTGAATACCACTGAGTTATACAACTTGAATCTGAGGATAAAAATCAAATCCTGATTCAGTGTCTTCTATTCAACTAAGGAAACGTCGTCAGTTAGTTATGTATATAGTTCATGACGTCGTGGGTGCGGGAGATAAAATCTCGAGGAACTTGAAAACAGTTTGTGGTTCATCACCTGCCGCCCTATCGATACAATACATTTTGTTACGCCGTCAAAATGCAGACGTGATGATACACCAACTAAGCACTGTACTTATCTCGCCTTCACTTGGAACTTAGGATTTACTTAAACGTGTTTGAGGAACGCGGGTCATTTGTTTCGAGGTTCGTCTTCTATCCGCCTTCGTGATTGTCGCTAGGCTCGTTTGTTTTCTCTCCGTGTTC